GGTGCCGTGCAAATGTCACAGCTTACAGCATTGTCCAGTACAGCAGCTTTCTCTATGGACGTCAAAGCAAGCTGATTTTTAAGGACATTTTATTAAATGTGTTCTTTGTATATATTATACATGCACACATAAATAAAGGTATGGGAAAAAATTTTTAGATGATCAATGGAAGTCTCCTGTCTGGGACAACGATGCACACTAATCCATGGGTAAGAAGTTAGATGGACTTGTAATTGGCAGCTAATAAGATCCAGAAATAGGCTAATAGCCTAGATACTGTCAGACTCCTGAATTTCTGAGTTCAGAGAGTTCCTAAATACTAATTTTCATTATGTCATTCTTTCCTCCTGATTGTTGCACGGGCAAGTCGGAAATCGTCCCCTGCTCCTGCTTCTGAAAAAATGACAGTGTGAGAGCATGTACACAGCAGGTACATCTTTAACTAAGAAAAAAATGGAGGGGGAGGGAGGGAAGAAGGAAAAATACCTTTTTATTCAAAACTGTAACAATTTAATCAGAAGAGCTTTATGCGCAAGATGTGTCCAAACACGGAGAGAACTCCTACCACTGATATCTTTGGAAGAGAGTGGACTGTCTGTCCAAAAGACTGTCAGCAGGGTATTAAAATTAATTAACAGCTGGTTCAGGGTTGGTTGGTGGTTTTTTGTTTGTTTTTGTTGTATTTTTTTTTTAAAAAGACATGTTCAATAAATTACTTACAGTAAAATATTTATCCTTTCAAAACTCACTTTTGCATCTTCAGCTTCAGGAGTTTCAGAAACTTAGTGCAATGCCTCCCACATACCCTTTACTCTCAAATAGCTACTGTAATGAAAATCTAAAATTTAACTTCAAAGAAGAACCAGCAATCCTCCTACACATGACCAGAATTTTCTAGATTTCGAACTATGAAAATCACCCTACCAGAACTGTTATTCTGGCTTGCTTTCTGGCTGCCTTTGTTTTACTTTGTTTTACACAGTACTTTAAAATACAATTACTCATTTGTAGTAATGAGTAGCAAAGACCAACAACAGGAGCTTTTTACAAAGCACATGCAAACCCAAATCTCTCTGGCAATGAACAACCTGAAATGCAGCTCAGCAAGACATTCTGAGGACCTTTTCCCACGAGGCATGACAAAACATTGCAAAAACGGATGACTAAAAAAGAAGGTTGCAAACAGAAGCTGAAGGCAGATAAAAAAAATGAAGTGCATGGCTCAGAAACAGAGCTGGTATGTATTTTATTCTCTTTTGTAGCAAGCAAGTATAGCGTGAATTATCTAATTAGCACTGTAACACGGTTTTAGTGAGAAACAAAAAGCTATTTCTTTTATAAATGTTACAGGCGTTAGTCAGCACACCCTGCTCCCTCCACCAGAACCCTGTGGCTGAAGAGGGTTTCTGCTGAGGGACAATAGTAGGGATTCTCAAAGATCTTAGCTGGAAAGGCCAGCAAAAGGACTTGACAATTATCAGCAGCATTTATAGCTAGAAGCTGGCTCTGGCCACTAAATAACACTGTGCTACCTGTTCCATACTCGTCACTTTTAGGACATTTGAGGCTTAATTGCTGCCTGTCAGCTGAAGCCCTCAAGGAACACTCACACACTGGTCATTTCAGGCATAGAGAAAAATGCAGCTTAGCAAACCTGCACTAAGTTATCTGAAGAAACCAGCCATGAAATACAGAAGAGACTAAACAATGACCCCCATAAGAACAAGCAGGGGAAAAGCGAGAGAGAGTCCAACTTGACAACCTTTACAACAGAACTACTTGAAGTTCTGCAACACTAAGCTCAGTTCTACACTGAGAAATAAACTAAGTGACAGCACATGAAGACATGGCTGAGATAATCCAGTGCTGCTTATAATTTTTCCTTTTTTGATAAGAGTAATATCTTGGAAGTAGTGCATTTATCAGAATGCTTTATGTGTTTTCCCTCAACCAATTTGTTAAACTCAGTCAGACAGAAACACATGTATTCAAATTTCTATCTCACTCCAAGGTTTTTCTGCAACTGAATTAGTTACTTGTCTGTCTTTGAAGCAGGAATAACTCCAGGAGTTACCTGTAGTATATCCACAACCTTAAACAAAATTAAACCAGCAATAACGTATTTGGAGGGAACATGAAGAAAGCTAGTGATACTTAACTAATTCCAGAGAGTTCATGTGTGTATACCCAACTTCAATACTCACTTCCCTCAAAAGGCAGGAATTAAGGAGAAAACGTATGATCAGGCAGAAAAGTAAATTCCTACTTTATCCTTTCACACAGCCTATAGCAAATTACTGTTTAGTTATGTTCAACTTTCATTATTCACAAACCTATCATGGAAAGCAACCAGGCTGGTCAAGCATGATTTAACCTTGGCAAATCCACCTACTCTTTCCAGACCCCCTCTTCTCCTTCGTGTACCCAAAAAGGTGTTCCAAGAGGACTCACTCCATGATTTTTCTAAGAAGTCCAGTGGAGCTGAGCAGCCTATGCTTTCCTAGACTACCCTTTTGACAGATGGGTGCAGTATTTGCCTCCCATTGCTGTGGACCTTCTGTGCTTTCTGTGACCTTTCAAAGGTGAGAGAACAGCCTTGAAAAGGTATCAGGCAGCTTTCTCAGCATCCTTGGATGCAGTCCCTCTGGCTCCAGGACTTGGATGGGTCTAGAACTCCCAACTGATCCCTGACTCACTCTTCATCCACTGCTGCTGTTCTCCTGGAACTCTGAGTATAGAGTTAGCAGACCTTATCAGAAAAGACTGAGACAGAGAAGGTACTGAGCACCTCAGCCTTCTCTGTGTTGCTCCAGTCACGTTACTAAATCGCTCACATCATTCAACACCAGGACTTTTCCCTGTCCAGTCCTTTCCTGCTAACACAGTCACAAAAGCTTTTCTTGTTGACCTTGATCCCTTGCAAGCATCAATTCCAGGTAAGCATGGGCTTTCCAAACACCATCCCTACAGACGTGGTCAGTGTTTGTGGATTCTTCCTTTGCAGCCCACTCCTGTTTCTAACTCCCTCACACTGCACTAGGACTGGCCATGAGAGCTCTGTGAAGACAAGACAGTTCCCCAGATCAATCCACCTGCATTCCTGGACTGCTCTTGTGTTTGGAAAACACTGTTCTTAACAAAATGCCAACCTTAATGAATTCTTCTATTATACAGAGCTTCCCTAAGGGATTCTACCCCCTCCCCATTTCCCACATAACCCCAGAGCTCTGCTCTCACTGCCTTCCTCACTCTTCTCAGCATCCTGAGTACTTCCAGCATTACAGAGGAGCTGTTGATCCCACAGCCCATTCCAAGATTCGGTACAGTGCACAATTCAGACAAGAGTTAATTATCTCGCCATTCTTGTTGCTAGAGTAACAACACTCCTTTTCTATTTATTTTGTATCATCTGTTCCAGGAGAGACAGTCTTCTAGCTGATGAAGTTCACAGTACAATGATCAAACCATCAAGATTAATACTGGATGTGTTGGAACTGGTACTAAATTTATTACAGCCCAATATAAGGGAACACAAGAGAATTTGTAACTTCTCTCTCCTGCATTTCACCTGTTCACTAGGGATTGAGAGGAATTATTTGATAAATGGCAATTAAAGAAGTTTGTGGGAGCTTCTAACACAGAACCAAGGAAAAGTAAGGGAGCAGAGATAACACAAGGTTAGACTAATAGAAGTGTTTGCCAATCTCTTCATTTTACTAAATCACTGGAACAAAAATTATTGGCTGGCCATTCCAGGGTGACAGTGAGGGATGATAATCCAGCAGAAGTCATCAAGAGGACAGAGACTAGATAATAAACTTGTTTTTCTCCTGCTCCACTGCAGTACATTTACTCTGCCAAATGGAAAGATGCTGTTAAAGCCTTTGCAGTCAGCTGCATGATGAGTATCTACCTCTATCTATCAACCAGAAACTAAACCCAGTTTCACAGATATACTTGAGTCACTTCACTTCTGGGCAAAGTCTGGAATTCTTGCTAGCAGAAAGTTGAACTTAAAAGTGCTATTCCTAACAGGTCCAAAACTGCAGGCTCTCTGTGATAATTATGCAGATTTTCCTAAAGATATCAGGAACAGAAAACTACAACTATTTTGCAAGGAAATTGAGACAGGCCTTCCTGGAATACAGGTTTTCATTCACTTACTCAGAGGAATAGGACCTTCAGCACACACCACCACCTGACTGTGACTGCTCAGAGTGTCTGAAATGGAAGCAAGTTTTCCAGCTGGGTATGACTCAGCCCGGCCCTCACTCCTGGGGACCTGTCACAGAACGCTCCCCGTGGGATGAGCATCCACTGTGCCATTTCATCAGGGCTCACAGCACTGCTTCCTCCAGTCTGACATGCACCCAAACAGCAAAGCCCAATGCCTAATATTTGAGAGACCATTTGGGATCCTAAGAGGGAGGAAAACAGCAAAAAGCAGCATCACAACCCTCAGCAGAGCAGTCTTCAGAGGCCTCGTTCAGAGACCCGCTTGAGAGAATCCTGTGGCACAGAGTCCTGAAGAGAAAAGGGGTCCAGGTGAGCCTATTGATTTTTCAATTACCACCTCCCACAAGATAAACAGTCAAACAAGCAGAGGTTGACTAAAGGGCTCAGGACAAAACTCACCCATGAAAAGGAAACACACAGGAGATGGCAGCAGGGACAAGCAACTGGGGAGACACACATGCTGTGTGGGTGTGCAGGTGTGGGGATAAGGAAAGCCAAAGCCCACCAAAAGCTCAATCTGGTGAAGCATGTGAAGGGCAAAAAAAAAAAGTATTTCTGTGGATGCATCTGAATGGGAATAGGGAGGAGGTCATGAAGGACAAGGATAAAGCTGCTTCTGCCTTATCTTTACTGGGAAGATCAGCTTTCCACAACAAAATTCAAATTAAAGATGTCAAACCCAGGTATTTCTGTATCCACAGAATATATATATGTAAGAGAATGCTGGAGCAGAGACAGTGGTCAACAGAAACTTCTTCCACAGATCTAGTTTCTGCAGTTTATTGAAAGGAGAGGGTGGACAAGCCAGCAATGCACAAGTGACAGTTAATTCACAGTTTATACACACAGAACCAGTAACTGCTGCTTACTCTGTATTAACATGCTTTATTTTTCAGTATCAGTTACTTACTCTTAAGAGAATGTAAAAGAATGTGATTAAGAAGTCAATATACTGATGCCACACACTAGATCAGCAAAGTTGGCATCACAGCCCATTGCTTTCACAACCCTCAAACAACTGTTTCAGCCAAAGCCTTTAAAGAGTAGCAATGCATAGTTCAACCATTTGTCTACTATTATTATAAGAACAAAAATACCAAGTAACTTTCCAACGTGTACATAAAACCAGGATGGTTTTTACCCATTCCTGTCATGGGAATGAGCACCTACACTAACAGGACAGAAAGTCAGGTCTGACAGAATCTATCAGGTGTCTTGTTTACAAAACCAACTCTTCAGCCAGTTCAATACATGTTGTACCTACACCCCCCACATGCAGAGAGTATCATCACTGTTACTTTTTACCACGTGGAAAGTACATGTTTAAAGCTCTGCCTTTACTTGGTTTTATTTCCCCTTGAGAATCCTGTCATACAAGTGGGGAGAATTTTGTCCTGGTTGTGACCCGCAGTTTGTGCCTTACCAGTCCTATTCCTTGCACTTAAGAGGTGTGCTAAAGTTGTAAGTCACCATCTTTCCCTCATCTTTACTTTCCTTTATTTAATGGAGAGAAGCATTAGCTGACTGTGTTTATTTTTCAAGAATTTATTTTCAGAAATTATTTTTCGGAATCTATTTTTTGAGAAACCAAACAGAGTTTCAAATTGCAAAGCAGCCAGGGAAACAGAGCTCCAAAATGAAAGAATTTTCTATCATCCTTCAGTGGCTGTTAGGGATCTCCCTCAATATATGCAGAACAATAGTATTAAATGGGTTACATCAAGTGAACGTACTCACTCTAATTATACAGATCTTGTGGTTTTCACTACAAAAAAACTCCACTGTAGGTTGTTGGTTATTACAATAAGAGTTACTGCTCCAGTTAACAGCCCACTGCTCCTGCATATAATTAGATCTTCTACAGCTTATGTGCTATTTTAAGTTACAGGTGATAAGGTACAGATATGACATGGAATCCTAACGGTATTTCTCCACTCCTGCTCAGATTCTTTATCTCAGTCTTGACACAGAACACATCAAGCATAACAACAAATGTTCCCAGGTTTGTGCACCTAACTCTGAATGAGTATTTTAATAATACTTTTTGAAGGCTTCTCTTCTATGCAAGGATTGAAACAGGAAGCTTTTATTGCAATGCTGAACTCCGAAAATAATTCAAAGACTACAGTTGTATGTTTTGAACTGTCAACTACGAAACTCAGAACTTCAACAACTCTATACAAACACAGGGAAGCCTTCAGCACTACTGGATAGACACACTCATCCTGGTACAACATTCCCAGGTGCTCCAGGGGTGGATTTCAGTCTTAAGGGTTTATTGTCTCTTATTTGGTGAAAATTAGCAGGTAGGACAGCAGCCTCCAAGGAAGCAAATACAGAATAATACATGGAAATTCAGTGATGGGGCAAACAGTTACCTAAGAAGAATGGAAATGCCTCAGTGATCCTACAATACTGGAAGAAATGCCTCAACTGGCCTTCCAGCAGTTGTAACAGGTTTCCAACTTAAATAGCAATTGGCCTTTTTTGACACACTGATCAGCATGGCTGAGCTTATCCACAAATAAACCTCTTATTTTAGTTGGGTTTTGTGTTTTGTTTGCATTGGTTTTGTTGAGGTTTCTTCCTTTTCAACAGAATGAACCACCTAATCTTGAGTTTCAGTACCTAGAAGGAATGAAATAAGTACCTTCACAGAGGAATGAAATAAGTACCTTCACACAGGTAGTTGCCATGGAAATAGTGTTTCAAAGCTGGACCTCTGTTGGAACAAAACGTAGAAACAACTTAAAAAAAAAAGATCATATTTCTGAGAATCCATTGCTTAAAGACACGTGGACAAGGCTCAGACAACTTTCTGGGAACTGGTCCCAGAACTGTACCTCCATAAAATGGAACAACTAACTTCCCTGAAGAATGTTAATCAGTCTCCCACTTTTGTTATGTGCCCTCAAATAATTATGATTAGTATACACCCAGCCAGGCTAAACTTGCCAAATGTATCAGTTTGAATTTGATACTCTTTTCAAAAAAAATAAAAAAAAAACCCAAAACACTTAGACTTCTCTCCAGTCTGTAACTTTGAGGGACATGCATTTCTTAAAATGAAAACTGATGCAAATTTAAAAAAAAAATTAAAAGTTGTCCTTGTTTGTGATGTACACAATATAGTCTGTGCCTCTAAGAACATTATTAGATAAAATAAATTTGCCAAAGTATTTCTTTCAAGACACTTCATATCAAGTCTGCTTTCTTGCCTTGAAAGACCACTCAAATTCTTCATGGCTAGAACTGATCAATTATAGAAACCTTCAGGACTACTGTACCTTTAAATTCCCCTTCATACCTTCAATGCTTCCCCCTGCATCATTTTTTGGAGAGAGACTATTATACACTGAAATTTTGTCTTCCACATGCAGAAGAGGACAAGGTTATTACAGAAGAAATAAAGCACTTGTTTACAGTCATATTGCCACCAAAGAATTCTTCCAACCCAATTATACTGATTAATCAATCTTGAATTTGCTCTCCACTCATTAAGAAACAGAAACAGTAGGGCATGTATTTTTGAAGATGCAACTGCCAGGTCCCTCCAAAACAAGTCTTTCTGCAGATAACAAACAAGATTTTTATCTTCTTTAAATCCGGTCAATAGTTTTATCATTCTAACAAGAACTTGGACTGTCAAGGGTTGCACAGAAGGTGAAAAACTGCAGTCTCTACTACTGGTTTTCTTAGGGAAACAAAGAAAATCAGTCCTGAATGTAAAAAAGATTTTCAAATACTGAAAGATTTGAATAGATCAGATGAACTTTTCAGAAATGGAGCAACTCCTCTTCCTGTACGACACTTCTTTCACACCAAGGGAAGTCTTCACACCACACGGAGAATCACCTATTAAATTAAATACAGTTTGCAAGTCAAATCAGCCTTTACAGCTTGCATAAACTAATGGAATCATTCTTCATATGCTGTGGAGTTGAAGCTATTCCATAGCTCTAACACAAACAGTTAAGACAGGTTGTGCTCTCTACAAACACCAAGACCGTAAGATCTCCTGATTTTTAAGCAGAACAGTTTCAGAGTTTAATTCAGCAGATCCTTATGAGGAAGAATGTAAGCTGCAAACTCAGAATTCTTATAGTTATTTATCTTGCAAACCTGATCCTGTTCCTCTGAAGGTGAGCCATGAACTGCCCAGATGAACTGAGCTCAAGTGCCTTCCAGTAACGAACTCCTGACTTCAAAAAGACATCTTTAAACGAGCAGTTTTATAAACGGAGTTGTGACAGAGTACTTGCAACAAAGACCGGATGAGTTTGCACATGTACTGATTTAAGAGCAAGGAGAGTATTTCCAAGATGGCCCTGGCCTCAAAGCACCTAGGGATATGAGAACAGACTTCATGTAGCAGAAAAGTAAGGGGGTATACATCAGAGAGCAACATTTGTAAGAAAAGCCACATTTTGAGAGACTTTTTTGACTCTAAGATTGTGTCCAGTAAGAAAAGGGCAGCTCTTTATGTTTGTGTCTTCCAAAATTCAGTGAAATCCATATGCAGGAATTAGCACAGCCCATGCAGAGCTGGGCAAGCTTTATGCCACTGACAAGCAACATTTAAACCCAGAAATTTGAAAAAGCAATAAGTGGATTAAGTTTAAATATCTCTTTTCCCTTAAAAATGTGAAAGTTTCAAACTCACGATTAGAAGGGATAAACTCACGATCCCGACTTGGAGCACCAAAAGGTCTGTCATATCCACAACTCTCAGCTTTCATTTTCTGTATGAAGAAATAAACATTCAAAATGAAATGTGTGTTCTAAAATGCAGTATACACCACTACCCACGAAACCTATGAATTATGGTCAAAAAACCCACCAGTTTATCAGTCTGCCCAATACATATGTCACAAAGGACAGCACCCAGAGAGAAAACAGCTCACTCAAATGAACTAGAAATAAATCAGGGTATCAGCTGAAAGAATCTGACCTGATAACCAGCATCCAGTTTCACAATCGTGGTACTTGTGCTTTGATCACAATGAGAGACTCCCAGAGGCAGGTGAGCTGCTGTTAGTGGGACTCCATACACATTGGCTAAAGATCTACTGATGCAGTAACTTAATCCAGAAAAAGAGAAAACAAGGAAAGTTTGGCTAAGAGGGCTGTATGGAAGCACAGCATTTCAAATTCTTCAACTGGCAAACAAAAGCAAGCTGAGATGCACAGAGCAGATGCACCCTTCCAAGACCACCAGCCTGTTCTACAGCTACACACACAATGAAAACAACTCCTTCCCCACACTACCACATGCAGCACTTAGAACTGTGAAAGGCAACACACAGCAGCACCTGAAGAGTTTTCTGAATGAAAGACTATTCATTATTGTCTCTCTAAGTGCTGCTACAACTACTGACTGAGATCACAAATGGCATTTCCTCGTTTCCCACCTATTTACTTCTCCCTTCTCCACACCAAAAAGGTAACAGGACCTTACGACTCTACATTATACATAAGGCAGTACAAAAGTTTGCAAAGTAGAGACATGCTAGAACATGCTGAGAATTTCTCACCACATACAGTAAACCTCTGAAGAAAAACAGTGAACTCTAATGCAACTGACACTTCTCTACTCTGTAACAGTGACACAATCAAAAGTCACCATCCCGGAGACGACTCCGTAGCAATACTCACGCAATTTTCTTACAGGATGCCAAAGCACAGCAGATTATATCGTTCTCCTCGTGCCACTTGCACCTACATGAAACAAAAGTTCAGGCTCATTTCAGAAGCATTTACGTTGTGAACCAACATGAATAGCTGGTCGGATGGAACAGGAGGAAATATTAAAAATATTATCTTTTTGTCACAGGGACAACGTAGTACCTTGAAAATTTCACAGAGGAGTAGAGTTCAATAGCTGTGCCCTAAGTAGTTTATGCAGAGTTAAAAGCCTGGTTATCAGGCAACCTGCTCTGTGCTGAGGTGGGGGGCAGGGAGAAAAGACAATCCTGAGAGACAAATGGAATTTTAAGGTAACAATTTGAAGTTTCCCATTAATGTGAAACAGTTTCTCATAGCATAAGCATCGTCACCGTCCTCTCCAAATGTGTGGTTTAGAGTAGAATTTTCCCTTCTCCTTAAACTCTTCTTCTAGTGTGAAGATACCCGTGGAAATGCAAAACCACCTGACTACAAAAAGACAAAGTGACACCCATGAACCCAATGGGTCTTGAAATCCATATTCCAAGCAGACTTCCGAGAATGATTTATGTGTTTTTTAAATTCACTAAAATTTAAGGTCAAATTACTGGTTCTTTCTTAAAACAGCAGCAGAGGAAAAGTTAAAGTCTATTTCTAAATTAACTGCATTGTCACCCAATAGGCTCCTGCAATGTTGCAAGCTACACACCACTTTTGGCACCAACACAGAAGAATGTGAAAGCAGGAAAAGCTTTACTTTTGTTGAAGACATAGGGGGGGGAAAAAAGTAAAGATCCTATGGAGTAAACAGGATTCCAGCTGTGTAATAAAACACATTTCTTCTGGGAAAAAAAAAAATAGGATCTAGCTTAATCCTATGCTTGAGAACTTAATTTATATCAGTGGCAAACATACTTTGTCCCTCATCACAGCAGCAGCATGAAGCATTTGATGTATAGCAACAGCCTGGTCCCATCCAATCACACTTCTAAGAGTCTGAATCTTCTCACTTCTGTGATTTCCAGTTAAATGCCACAATGTATTTTATTCCCATTTTTACCCCCCTCCTTTAAATTAGGCCTCAGACTCAGCATTAAAACGCCACCTGTCTTTACTCTTCTTCTGGGAAAGTAATTTTTGTTTCCAGTTGTGCTCATGATGTGACAAGAAGCATTTCTAATTGGAAGGCCTAGCAGCACACAGGCTGTTTGCAGAGCACCAGGACATGCTAACACATATTTACACAAAGAACCACCCAACTTACCTGGTGTTACTGGAGAAATCCCACAGGCAGACATCTAGTTTTCTAGACACCCATGTCTTGGATGGCTCCTTTAGGTATTTCTTCAGGTACAGTTCTACTATCAGGTCTTCTACAGCAAAAAGCTGCAGAGAGCTCTCAATGCCTACAGTGCAGTGAAAATCCAGGCCAGGAGAACAAGAGTCAGTGAACATTCTGCTCAGCTCACTTCTCAGTCAGTCCCTGTTTATTGCCCAGCCTCTTACTGTAGCATCAAAGCTCAAAGTTATTCCATTAGTACTTTTCATAAAACCTGGCTTCCCAGCAATGTGGGCTTTCTCCACTGACAGGGAGAAACTAAGAGGAAGAAGCACTCAAAGTAGGTGACCACCTTCTATGAAAACTCTGAGACACGATTTTCAGACCAATACAGCCGTCCATGACTACATAACCCTTATTTCTGGGGGCAGGGGGGGGAGAAAAGGAAGGGCAAAAATGATGCATTTCCTACCTGCTACGGTAGCCATTCGACCGAGGCACCAGCTAATTCGGAATCTGTCGTTAGACTAGAGGGAAGGAAATTTCTGTCACCTCTAAGGAGCACAGTATGAATTCTGACAATTTGCAGAACTTCTGACTACGCCTGAAAAAGTCACCTCCAAACCAAAACTGTTTGTGTGACTGAATGTACACTCTTCCTGAAAACTATCTTGAAGAGGAGCCAAGTTTCATGCATATCTCCTCAGAGCCCTCTATCTACAGATGGAGCCCAAGATCTTGACCCTCCCAACCTTCCTCAGGACTAAGATAAGCCTTGAATGGAATTGAAATGTAATACACCTGTTACAAAGCTTAAACACCTCAGAATCCTAACATTTTACTTTGCTCCTTGGCAAATGAAGCTTGAGCAAAAATTAAGAGACATGGTATTCTCATGGGCAAGGAGTCACAAAAACAGAAAAACATCCCTTGAAAAAAGCAGGGTTGTATGGCTATTACTGAGCACATTTAATTTAAGTCAATCTTAAAAAGCCCTTAACCTAAGTCAAAACAATGTCAGAGACCAACAAATCCTGTTCACCAGTAGGCTAGAGCCAGAAGCACAGGCTGAAAATAAGAAGACAGAAAATTAGGTCTCTACTTTATAAAAAGATTAGCTTCTAGAGGCCATTTCTTCCTGCGTGGAACTGGGACACTTTGGACATGAGTGTCTTTTCCCACTCATTTGCATACTGATCAGGTTTTAGAGCAAAGTATCTTCTTAGTCATCCAAGAGAAGTGAAAGCAGAAGTTTAGATTTAGAGCCTCTTACTTCGACCTTGGCCATACCCTGCAGAAAAAGCGAGGCTGGACCCCTCTGGCTGGCTGGGCAAACTCAAGGAGTTCCTGCAAGACAACTGCGTAACAAGTACGTGGAAGATGAAATCCAGATATAGGGATCTTATGAGTTTCAGCACCTAATGGAGGAGAGGGAAGGGGGGCAGGAAAAAAAAAACAAACACAAAGGGTTGTCAAAGTCCTGTTTCCTTAAATGATACAGCTCCCTCCTCCTTTCTACCTTTTTCTATACATATATGTATACGCACAAGCACACGCTCCTCCTCTTCTCCACTGGCAGTGTCTGTGATCAGAGCTATCAAAACCTTGCTTCTGTCAGCAGAAGCCTGGCAGGTCTGGGCTGTGAGCAAATACACACACTCCTGCCCCTTTTAAAAGGCCATTATCCAAGTATTTGACATAGGAAAACATAGGCCAAGCTCGTTCCCTCCGTACACAAGGGGAGGAAGTGCCCTAACAGAAACAATTAGGAATCTATAAACATTACTAAAAGTCATAAGGGAAACACGGCAGGCCAAGCCAGACACAACAATGGCATAAACATTTTAACTTTGTTGATATAGATAAAGTTGCAAAATATAACTTAAATATAAACCAGCATCTTTGAGATACCCTGTCATTAATTAGCACTTCATGCTGAAGATACACACAAGGACTATTAAAAGAAGGACACTCTGCTCAGATGGGCTTGGTAGGCCAGAAAAAGTTGTCCCATTTAAGAACAACATATTGCAGTTACTATTGCATTAAAATAGGAAAACAGGATACAAATAATTCTGCCACTGACAAAACCATTTTGAGTGAAGTGCTCTGCCACTTGTAGGTACAAGAAATATATAAAAGGTGACTGTGACAAGCCACTCTGACATCTCTTCTCTTTGAAATTTGACAAGTTCCCAGAAGGAGAAGCTGCAGACTTACAAAACACTTGGCTACAAGTCAGGTAAGCTGAATCTGTAACTGTGCACCTTTGCATATCATTCTTTTTCTCCACTGACACTCACCAGCAGCCTGGCAGTGGTACCGAAAACCACGTGGTGGAGCTTCTGCAGGAGAAAAAGAACAGTCATCATCCAACATCCACAGTGACAGATCCTTAACTCTCAGCTACACACCAATTCTCATACACAGAAGGAAACAGCTTCAT